TTTCACCTTAAAGTCCCTGTTCTAGAAATGATTATAAAGATCTTTAATCCTTGTCTTTTACTTATGTAGTTCTCATTTGCTAGTTGGCCCTTAGTAATAATCTAGTTTTCAGGTCCTTGGAGATGGTTTGACGAGTCCATGTTAGACTGTTGTGAACCTCTGGAGAAAATCAAAGCTGAAGGGATCACATTTGGGAAAGTTGCATGTTTGGCTCACTGTGCTGGGGCTAAAGTTGAAGCATTGCGTACAAGTCAAAGCACTATTGATGATTTTCGTAAACATGTCATCAAATGCACTTCATCTGAAGATTGTCATGTGATCACTTCATACAATAGAAAAGTTTTTAATCAGGTTTATATCTGTTCTTCTAAGATACTTTATTTCAGTAACATGTTAATTATATATACTAGATTGAAGAAGTCTTCCACTGCTTGGCGTGGCCTTTGGTTCATTTTAGATGAAATGCACGAAGGTACTGAAATTTTGTGAGGTCATTTCCAGTAAAAGCATAGCAATGTTGTAAGTAGAAGATTCATGATGTCAAATGAACGATTGATCTATTCGATCTAAAGGAGTAACCTGGTTACAGTGAGTTTATCTTGGTTCTGCATTATTTTGGCAGCACTTATTATTTGCTGATTGGTAGGTCATTATTGCCAATGCAATGTAATTAAGTCAACTGTCTGCTCAAACCTTTAATATGTTATTCAAGCTCTTTGATATATTTGTCATGTTATCTGCATAAACTACATCTATTTTCTTCTTTCATTTTGTAGATACGACATCAATCTTATACATTAAACTCGTCTGATCATAAGTTAAAGTTTTTAATGATAGCTGATTTAATCTCTTATCATACAATACACATCATCATACCTATCAGCAGATCTGTTATGAGGAGTCATGACCTAAGAAAATGATCTTATCAATACCGATTCATGCGTGCCTTGGTTGACATGTTAATGTTTATGCTCTTATTGGGGCATAGAGTAAGATGTGTAACTTTCATCTCAAAATAATTGCCTTTCAACTCAGCAAACAATGAAGTTGTTCAGCTTATCCATCATCCCTCTTCCATTGATCACTAGAGACACGCACCTTTCTTTTGTTAGTTTATCATTGTCAGCTTCCTTTCTACTATTTAAATCATCCACTATAACATTTACCCAACCATGTGTGGAGAATGCACGTAAAAAAGGGTCAAATTCTCATTAAATTGTTTCCTTTTGCAGACTGGAACTGGCCATTTTTCACCAATTGGAGGTTATCATGCTGGGCGTGACATGGCACTCATTTTGGATGTTGCGCGTTTTAAGTATCCTCCTCATTGGATACCTCTTTCACTTCTCTGGGAAGCGATGGAGTCAATGGATGTGCTAACTGGACATCCTAGGGGGTAAGGTTTGCATATGCTTTCACAGTAAATTAAAATAATTTCAGGCAGGAGTATTTCAACTTCCTGCTGTATGAGGATATATGAACGGTATTATCTTCTGTTATGATGCATAGTCACACTTCAAACACTGATAAAGAAAATTAACAGCTTTTCTGAAAGCATCTAAGGACACTAAAAGTAGGGTTACTTTTATCATCATGATTGTATTTTCTCAAGTGGATTTCCCCCCTCTAGTTTCTGTATGCTGACCTCAACTGACTTCAAAGCCTCCAACCATTTTGCAGGTTCATGCTTATTTCAAAGCTTCAAAGAGCACCATCACTGCTTTATACACTGGTATTATTTATTCATTATTACATGTTTGCCGCACTAAATTATGAATTTCCACTTTTTTGTCCACCTTATGCAACTTGAGCAATAAATAAATAAAATTGAGTTTAAACTGAATGATTCAAGATTGAATGTGTTTAGAATGGCGTCTCCTCCTTCAGGGTCCATTCGCTGCGCTCTCTTCTCTTCCTCTGGGTGCAAATATGAGTTGGATCTATGTGTAACAAAGATCTTTACCTCTGCACTATTAGAAATCTATAGTAACTAGCTGGGAATAGAATTATTGGCCCCATAACTTGGGGAGGTAAATTATCAAATACCATGATTTGCAGGATAGTTTTCAGAATATGGAACATTTGGGGATAGGTATGTGAAAAGACATTGTAAGATGTGTAGTCCTATTATACTAAAATTGGTACAAACATATACATCTTTCCTAACTCCCAATCCCATGTGTTATGACTGAAAGTACCCTAGAGGGGGGAGGGGGTGAATAGGGTATATGCTAATCTAATTCGATATTAATGCCAAATTAAAACTTATTAACAATATCCTAGTAAGTATGATATACAATGAAATATATGCAATGATAACAAATAAACAAAGAGCGATATAAACTATGAGACAAAGGCGATATAGAAATATGATAAGCAATGAGCACAAGAATAATACGCCAAGTCAAACACAAACACACAATATGATCACGGAGTTCGGTCACCCTCGATCTACGTCTCCGTTCCTCACTCACGAGGAGAATCTTTACTATCACAACCGGTTTTTAACGTTCGCCGAAAACGTTTACAACTCACACAATCGGTTTTCTAGATCACCGAAAATTTTCACAACTCACACAAATACAATCATACAATACACCTTCTAAGTGTTGACCTAGCCCGTGTCGATTTCCTCAAGTGTTCGGATTTACTACATCTCTTTGGGCTTTACTACCGACGCCACTCCTCTTGGAATCGACATCGTCTCTCACCACACACTTCTCTCGGTGCCATTGTGTATTACAATATGATCTCACAAATTAATCACAAGTACAAGGGTTTGTTTTCTACAATGGATGAGAACTCAATTAAGCTCACTCAATCACACCATCAACCCAAATTATACAATGTATGAAAATGCTCAAGCCCAATGGTTGTGTGTGAATATGATAAATAATAATAAAACTAAACTTAAATCAAACTAGCACAAATATATATATAAGAATCAAAATGTAAATATGCTAGAAGATAAGTTTAGAAAAACTTCTCCAAGAATCAAGAGAAAGATTGAGATTGAAGCTCAAGCACCAAGGACCTCATGTGAAAACTTCTTCACAAAAACAAAACTTGAAAATACTTGAAAACTTTGAAAATAGTCGACTGGAAATAGTCATCTGTCGATTGAGATTGAGATTGAAGATTGAAGCCCAATGTTACAGTCGACTGAAAATAGTCATCTGTCGACTGATGCCTGCATCAACCCACTAATGGACTGTCAATCGACTGAACAGACGAAAAACACTAACTGCGCAATACTTCATTAGTCGACTGATCACATGTAGTGAGTCGACTGAGAACATGCACAAAGCCTGAAATGAACAATAAATATGAACTTTGAACTCTCTTTTAAAATATCAAATAAATTTCAAAAAATATAAAATTTAGGGAAATATTTATAAACATGAAAATGAACATGTTATAAAAAGAATTTTTCAAATTGTATTTCCTATTTGTTAAAACTCATCATTTTACAAAATAGTCCAAAAACACGAAGTCTCAACAACACATGATTTTGACAAAATGTTTTCAAACAAGTTTGAAACTTCTCTTAAGTGGATTAATAGGCTTTATAAAGGATGTAAAATAGTATAATCAAGTCTTTAATCCATAGACATATTATTTTGCAAACTTACAAACATGATTTCATTGATTTTTAATATGTCAAAGCTTGAGTTTAATGAAATCATTTCAAGCACGTATAAACATGAAACAAGTATGTGTATATAATTATATTTATTTGTTTCATATTTATGTGGCTAACACATTATTTCCAAAAACAAAAATGATAAATATGAAATGTGTATGTGTGTATATAAATATAACTAATAGTTTCATATTTATTTAAACTTGAAAGTTATAAAACCAAAATGTGCATGTGTGTAATATTTGAGCTTTAAGCATTAACACACAAAGTATAAACTACTAAACTAAATATACCAAGCATTGGATCTTCAATATAGCTTGACTTGGTTGCGGATGAAGCTTGATCTTGAATTTGACTTTGAATTGCAAAATGGCTTCATTCCGATATTCCGCCAACCTCCATTGAATGTCATCGTTAAGGCGCAATTCATCCAACCTCCAACTGGAGGATCTTTGTGTAGAATACCTAACAATCAAATAAACACTCGACACATGATGTTAGGAATTGTTTGTTAATCATTAAAACTAGATTAGATAGTCGGTTCATAAACATGAGACCTAACAATAGCTGCATGCCATCTCATTTTCATGAGTGAATAGTTAAATCTCAAATTCTGGGCATTTCTCTGCAGAGTTGCAGACACGATAGCTGGGTGAGTACAGCAAAGTACTTGATTGACGATGTCCCTATTCTCTTGAAGGCAGAAGGCCTAAAAGCAGTTCCAGATGTTCTTTCCCTTATTTTAAGATCTCTGCTTTCCCGTGCTGGGGATTTCATCAATTGGGTTGTGGAAGTTAGACTACGAGAAGAAGATGGCTCTGCCGTAAGCCAAGAGGAGAAAGGAAGGCTTGCTGTTAAGGTTTGTAAACCATACCAAATCATCATTTCTTCAATCTCATCTGCATCATCACACGTTTTTTTTTTCTTACTTTCAGGAGGTTGTAATGCAACAAGTTCGTGGAACTGAACTATTTAAATACGTGACAGATTGGCTATCTTCTATAAGATCATGTTGCACAATTGCAGCTTCTTTAGTTGATAAAGATTCATTATCGAAGATTGCAGCCAGTGTTTGTTGCCAAGGCGCTGTGCTTTTATCAGGCAAACCTGGGGAGTACAAAGGATTTTGTTGCAGAGCGACACGTGGCGAATGTTTGAAAGCCAACAGAAATGGGACCGTAACTGTCATTTCAGGAACAGTAGTCTCAGGTGACGATGAGCAAGAAGTTGATATGTTGGTGCCGGTGTCTCCGTCAAAATCAAGCTGTTGTGGTTCAGGTCCAAGCAGCTGTGCTGTGGTTCACCCAGTAAGTGACGATGTTTTAACAGTTTTGTTATTAGCTTTACCTGCAGATACCTGGGTTGGTATTAAGGATGAGAACCTATTGGCTGAAATTCATAATATAGTTTCAACAGAGAGACTACCAGATGTTCTTCAAGAGGAGGTTAGTGTTCTACCTCTTGTACAGTTTTCACTTCTAATTTTAAGACTGTAAGTTTACCTGGTATCCTTGATTCCTAACGATGCATGTGTGGGCTGAATTCCAAAAGTTCAAATTCTAGTTTTTCCATCATATCATTGCATGTCTTATATAAGTATTTCTTGCAAGCATATTTTCATGAAAGCATGCCCAAAAAAATTTCCCGATTTTCTGATCATATGGTCTAGTCAAAGGTCACAAATGAAGTACACGTCTCACATATTTAATCTGCAGAAGAAAGGCAGATGGTTTGTTTTACAGGAGCATTGAGTTACCATGTGTTTGAAAATGCATTATTTTCTCTATATGCTACGCGTTAATTGACCTTTAATACCTTAAAAGTTTCTCCAATTTTTGACTTTGATATCCCAAAGTTTGTTTTGCCCAGAACTACCCCAAATTTTTAAGATGTAGTTCACCTTGTTGACTTAATGAAGGGTGGATTAAATTGCCCATTTGGGATGTGAATGATGTTAACTAGTGGTTGTGTTTGCTACAAATCAATGGCAAATTCAGCTGCTTGTGTTTGGGAAAGTGAAATGATGGATTTATTCTTTTGATTCCAATATGTTTACGTTTACATAGCTCAAAGAGGAAGGGATTTGTGCGGTTTGCACAGCAGGTAGTGGAGGAGGCAATGTTTCACGGGGGGGGGGGGCTGGGCCGGGGTATAACCATCATACCATCATACATCAATAAAAAAATGATCAAATATGACAATATGTAATAAAGTTTCATATATGTAAGTAGATGAAAGAAGAATCTAAAATAAAATTATTTTTGCAAAAAAGTATGTTTGTTATTTTAACTTATGCACCAATCGTTGAATCAATATGCTTCAATCTTCTAAAGTTTCATTTTTTAAATGTCTTAATTATAGTTTGTTTTTTTCATAACCAGAACCTATAAATTATAATCTTCTTGAAGACTTGACAAATTGGAAATACACTATAAACTACACCCTTGAACTTATTTAAAACAATAAGAAGAAGAGATGAAGTGATTTCAACTATTTACATTTATAAAATAATTGTAGAAGTACATGAACATAGAAATTCATTAACATATCTACTTCTTGGTGTAAAACTTCATGAAATTGAAAGAACTCCATTCCATATCTCTATCACAAATAGTAGGACCACATGAAAAATTTAAACGTGTTGCACAATTCTAATATTAAATGCAAAAAATACATGGAAATTGAAACATCATTTCTATGCCCTACTTGGAATGCAAAGAAAATTACATGAAAATATGACGTAGGTATATATATAGTTTTTTAAAATATTAATCCTCCAGAAATTTGCAAGTCAGTTGAAAGTAGTCCTCTGGTTAGAAGCTGGTTAACGTTTCTGGAGTTTTATAACACTTTTGGGTGCAATAGCAGTTATGCCCATTTACATTTAAACCCAAATCCCATAATAAACTTTGCTGGAGCACAAATTGGGGAAAATTATATGATAGTATACTTAAATCCACTGGTTTTAAGCATGATTTGGGTGGATTTTATTGTTGACTTTAGTTGACTTGGTAATTCAATAACTACCCATCCCTGGTTAACCACCCAGCTATGATTAACAATTGGAATATTAAAAGTAACAAATGGACTTATTTCAAAATACTTCAATGGACTTGGGGGACAAATTTCAAAATATGAAGAGTCGGGGGGCTAATTTCAAATATTTTAAACTTGGGAGACTAATTCCGAATGTGAAAGATTTGAGTGACTAATATGGGAAGAAACCTAATATGCATATTACGTTTCTAAAAAGTGTTCGGGTGGGGGGTCATCTCTGGCTCCCCCATTGAGCACAGGGGTACACGCAAGTCAAAATATTATCATGTGATGTGCTTTAAACAAAACTCTAAATAGTAAGTAACAGACATTAAAGTTAAAAGATGAGAGTAACTTTGGGGTGTTTTTTAGGCAGAAAGAGCATCAGGATATCAAAGTTGAAATTCCTTGGAAATTTTAGGGTATCAGAGTGCAATTAACCCATGTGATTATTGACCACGTGTTATTTCCTCCGGTACTTATAATATGTCAACCTTGAAATTAAATTTTCATTATCTTTATTGCAGGTCCTGCACTTGCGCAGGCAACTCCATTTCCTCAAGAGATGCAAGGATGGAGACGCAGATGATTTTGTGCTGTCTTCATGCGGATGATATTACAGTATTTTGAATTCCTTTGCAATTATTAAAAGGAGATATATTGTCACCCACCCGTGACCAAGCCAGCTTAGTCGAATTAGTTTTTATTTATACTATTTTATCTAGACTCCTAAGTCTTGTGCATGTTCTCTTGATGCTACAGATCGAGGAGGAGCTTCTGAAAATAATCTGCACAGATTAAGTTACCAGACTATTAGTGATCCTGCAGGGTTTGGGAAAAAGTATGTAATTATGTGAACCTTGGGAATATATTAATGCCCTCAAACAAATAAAAGTTATCAGATATTTAATTGCTGGAATGTGATTGTAAGTTTTGACATTTTTATCTGTATGGTATTTGAAGTCTGTCATTGATTTACAGCAAATTTGTGGAGCAAATTACAACAGTAATGATAAGGCAAAGGGTGGAATTCACAACAAATGAGTTTAATTATGACTTGAATTTGCAAAAAATGGATGTTGAACAAGTTTACATGGTGAACTTTTATAGTGAAAGTTATGTCAGTAATTTTCAGCCGATCTCTACTAGTTATTTGGCCCCCCTTTTTACCTATAATCACCTGGATATAATGATTTTTTTTTTTTTTTTGATATTGCTTTTTCGTATTTTCATAGGCTTCTAGAGCAGTTCCAAACTGTGATGAATTGTTTGATCGATATTTAAATGATCTCACACCAAAAAAGGTTGCAGTCTTAAGTGCAAGCAAAACAATTTGGAGAGTATATTTCAAGAAAAAGGTATTTTTTTAAGAGCAACATTTGAGATCAAAAGCCACACTAAACTCTAAAACTGATCAAGGCAAATTGGGGATGTTTGGGGTGTTTTTCCTATAAAATAAGAGTGTAATGCATAACTACGATACAACAGTTAAACCCACATATCAGTCTCTATGTATCGTCATAAATCAAGAAAAAACCACAATGAATGAATGTCTTGAATACAAGAAAATAAAGCAGCAAAAAAAAAAAAAGCGCCCACTTTTGACACTCAAACTAGTACTTTCTTCCATAGCATCAATCTTTCAGGATACTTCATGAATAAATCCTCAAAGTTTACCGCCTCTTTCAGCCTCTCCTGCAGCTTAACCTCCGAACACGAAGGAATTTGCTGCAACAAAGAAAAACACTTTTCACAAATTTATGGTACTAACTATAGGAAATACACAGAACAACTTTGCAAAGATCTATCGACCTTCGATATCCACAGAATGTAAGAAACCGCATGCTTAGCTTGAGACTGATAGTCATCAAGCTCATCATCAGTTTGGGTGTTCAGGCAAGCATTCATAAGCTCAAACTCTTCGCCAAGAAAATCATCTAAGCCAGTAGCTTCTATATGGGGGCTGCTGCTCTTTTGGTTGTTGGCAAAGTGCTTTATCCAACACTGAGAGAGGAATCGTCGATGAATCCATAAGGCCTTCAAGAAGTGCAAAAAGCTTGCTGTTGTTATTTACACAAGAGGCAATACATCTAGCTTTTCGAAACAAGTAAAAAGGGAAAAAAGTCATAGACATGTTAGGTTCTTAGAGAAGTCTTATCATTAAAAAAAATTATACAGTATGCATCACATCCTGTAAAAGTAGACGCTTTAAGTGACACCAACAAACACATCAACAGAGTTGAGGTTAAGTACCTCTCTTCCAATATAGCGTTGAATGAGCAATTTGTTCCATTGGAGCTCCTGTCAAAATCAAGAAGACAATAATTTCCGGTATTTGGTGCTAACAAATAATGCATGATGATGAATAGACTTAGTTTTCATGAAAATTATCAAAAAATGATCTTCTTTTCAACTTCAATAATCAGCAAATTCCCATAAATCTAAGATAGCAACAACATTGGTGCCATGGTAAACACTGAAGTTGACAGCAAGAAACTTATAAATCAGTAGTTTTCTCCTTATATGTGTTTTTAAGATCTTTATTATTTATATGTTGATAAATTAATAACTGTCTTCTTGTGCTTCTATAAGATTGCTGCCCTCGGTTATATAATGAAAAAATAATACGAAGAACAAAGAGAAAACAGCAACACTATGCTATTGATAAAGAAATCTGTATGTCGTTTTGTGCAGTTCTTATGTCTTGCAGAAGTGCTTTCAGATGGGCATGAATTTCTGGTAGAATATCTAATTGTCTTATGTATTTGTCAAGATTGGTTCATAGCATAGGTTTTTCCGAGGGTTTATTCTTGGTTGCATGAGCTTAAAACTGCATGACAAGATGTAGGTTTACCTACCACCCAAGTCCCAACAATCCTCAAAAGATTTTGGCACTGAGTCACGGTATTCATTTCCATGTCGACAGCCAAAGGTAAATGTTACGATGGAAAGTGACTTAATCCAAGAGAGAGATAATCAAGTTTATTTATAGGAAACAAATAAATTTCATTTACATAATCTTTCTATGTTGGACTAAAAACCATTCTCTAACTTGGCTAATTTACTAACTACTCTACTACTTCTCAAGTTGAAGCCTATACATTAATCATGCTCAGCTGGCTATCAGAGTACAAAATGCGGAGGAACTAAAGACTTAGTAAAGACATTTTCATAGTCTGATTCAGTTAAAATTTGGTCAATTCTTTTATGGAGCTTTCCATCATATTCTATAGCTAACCCCATCTGGAAACAGGCTTTCATTAATACATTAATAAGAATGATGCAGCTGCAATGAAATCTTCATACCTTCCATACAGCATAAACATTGGAATTGTAATTAAAGGGCTTTTCTCCACCTTCTTTTACGTCTCCATTACTTAGAATTCTAAGCATTAACCTCTGCAATCAAGGAAAGAATAAAAGGTGAACAATACATGCAGGTATAACTGTCTACTGGCACTGAATAATTTATTTGCAGTGTCATACACAAACAGCACCTCCTGCCCAACGTTAGGCTACAAGACTCATAATTGAAAAAGGATTAATTGCACACAGATCCCTGTAGTTT